AAATTTGATGGTGTGAGTAGCTTTCACTCACACACGTTTCATGCTCTGTTTAGGTTAGATAACTGTTAATTATTTTGGTGGAATTTTTAAATCTTATCTGTAAATTGTTTTAATAATTAATATATATATATATACATTTTGTCCCTCACTCCCATAATTCCTTTGTTTCCCTTCTTTGCTCCTACTTTATCATGGCTGTTTGTTGTAGTTCAGCAGTGGAAGGTTGACATATTAACTACAACTCAGTAAAATCCCTTCTATGACAGAAAGCATTGCCTATAGGATAAGCCCAGCAGTGATATAGAAAATAAAATGGCTACGCCAGGCACCATGACCTGTTCAGGTTGATATGAAGTAGTCACAGTTCCTGGAGTTTTGCTTGGAAACACTTCACATACAGAGATTAACCCCTTGGCAGCAGGAAAGTGTAACTCCACCTCTGGCGGCATCATCCAGCAAAGAACAAAGTTGGTTAATGTGAGTTATGTGCAAAATTGGCATCTGATGCCAGCACACTGCATGCTGAAGCTAGACAATCAATGGATGCAGGCCCTCCCCCACTTTACACCCCCACCCCGTCCTGCTCTTGGTGAGGGGGAGCAACATCAACCAAAGGAGCACCAAGCTGTGGGTGAACTTGAAAAAAAAGAGAAGTTGAAGCCTTTTCTAATTGTTGGGGGGATGAAGGGGGGAGGACCAGCACAGAAGGGGTTACTATGAAATTACTATGTTTATGAAAACACTATGTTTAATTAATATGTTTATGAAAACACTGTTTTATTACTATATTTAGGAAAACACTGTTTTTCTTGTTGGAGTAACCATCTAAGTGAGCATGGCTGGCTGACACACTTTCTGGCTAGGTTAGGAATCACAGCAGAAGCTGCAAGGATAGTGTATGCAGCAAATACAGGAACTCCAAATGTCAAAAAGTGTTTTCAGGAGCCAGGTCAGCGCTATGGCTCTTTGACAGTGCAACCGGATCCCTGTAATGGTGTCAGCGCTGAGGGGAAGTGACAATCGGTCACTTCCTCACAGTAAACACACAATGAGCTGCTCAGGAGAGTCTCAGAGAAGAGGAGTAAAATGGGAGAACCTCTGACTCACAACAACCTCAACCAGCTGACTGGACCTTAGGGAAGCCACCCTAGCAGGGGCAGTTCCTGGACTGAATCTCGTGAGGGGCACTTAGAGATTATTACAGGGACAGTCCAGGCACAATAACCACTACAGCTCTCCTGAGTAAGTAGTCAAATCATTTAAGAACAGTTTGACAACTTACCTGAGTTCTGCGAGGATAGGGGATGTAGTAGGGGATAGGGCCTGTAGTGTGTGTGAGAGAGGTGTAGTGTGTGTGTCTGGGGGGGAGGGGGGGGGTTAATTGTGTGAGAGGTGCAATGTGTGTGAGCGGTGAAGTTTGTGTGTGAGGAGTGCAGTGTGTGTGAGGGGTGCAGTGTGTGTAAGAGGTGCAGTGGGTGTATGTGGAGTGCAGTGTGTGGGTGTCTGAGGGGTGCAGTGTGTGTGTCAGGGGTGCAGTTTGTGTGTTTGGGGGGCAGTGTGTTTTACTGTGCTGTCAGTGTGTACAGATCTCCCTTGCATTCCATTGACTCCCTGGTATTTTACCAATTTTTTGCCTGTTTTACGTCTGTGAATCTGCGACTCCTTTCCCGACCTTTGGCTTTTCCTAACCATGCATCCGCTTATTTCTATTGGTACCTTGCTTCAGCTTATTTCTGCTTCCTAGGCTCCTCCTGTCAAACCCAACAGCTTTCTACATATTACTCATTTACAACAGACACACTGCTACTCCACTTCTCAAAGACTTGGCTATTACCCTAGCTGATCAGGACTGGAGGAATTGATTCATTGCTGTTGCTTTGCTGGTGTTATGTAAAAATTATGTCTTTTTTTATATATATATTTTTAAAGATGTTTGTTTATATATATATATATATATATATATATATATATGATCATAAGTACTTTTAAAGCAATTTGTACGGCTAATAATGTGTCTTGCAGCATTGAGAATATTTTAAAAGAGAGTAACCACAGCTCATGCTGTTTTAAGGTCAAATCCTAAGCCATACCAGCATGCCGCATCCTACATGTTGCAGGGACGCAGAGAGTGCAGTACGGGTCATGTCACATTTATGTCATAATAAAGCAATAAAAAAGGATGAGATATTGGTTTCAGTGGTTCCCAAGAGGGACATAGTAACCAAAGACTATTGAAAGTCAATGTATTTATTTACTAAATATTTGACTCTTGGTAATGTACCTTTCTATCCAAGGCTAATATTCTCAGCAAAGTACAAGTTCGGTGAGAAATGACTATGTTAAGAAATACTAAGACAGCACATTGCACCGATTCTTGCTATCAACATCTGAGCATATCTGCTATTTATTTAAAAACCTAACTTGCTATTTAGTCAAACATATAGTTATATAGTACATTTTGAGTTATATTATGACGTTATATTGAGACATGTTAACCCAATGATTAATTAGAGGCTGGCAGGCAAATCTTTTCAGGGCTCAGTAAAAGTTACATGAAAATGGCATTTACTTGTATCCATGATGGTTTACATAAAAATCTCACATATACAAACATAGAAATAGTGATAGATTAAACAACTTATGTGCAGAAACTGGATACATTTACACCAATTCTAGTTAGATAAAGGGTCGGCAAATCTCCATACTTGTTGGTTTGTTTTTGTAAGTAGTGGCTGGTCGGTAAGAGCTGCTACTAAAAGTCACTAAGACTAACCTTGTTTTTGTAAGGGAAGAACTTAGCGACTGATTCCAACCTTGTTACTATTATTACATCCTGCTGCTAAGCCACCAAATTGACTAACTGATAACGCTTGTGCAGTCTTGCTGTTCATAAACGAATGATGGTGAATTGCCATTTTCCCTTTGATGAACATACAGTTGGTCTGGCGTATATAATGTCATTGCTATTTTGATGGCTTTACACCTGGAAATGTATTACATTTGTGCTGTACATTTACGCTACTTTCCAATACCGAAATTAGACTATTAAATCTCACAAATCTTTTAAAAGAATAACAAGTGTAAGTCGTTTTCTTGCATACACTGAATCGATAGCATGTCATTGTAACAATCACTAAGTATACAGGGAAAAACAACAATGAACTATATTGCAATCTGTTTGTAAATGTTTAAAAGGTTGTACAGGCTGCTGTCCCTTATTAAAATGTAAAATCAACTGTTAACTGGTTAGGTAAAAAGAAAGTGTTGGGATTGGAAACAAACCATGTTGGCTTGATGCTTTTGAGGACTGCATAAGGATCAACAAATTTCTTCTTTTAAACAGTCTTCCATTTCTGTAGTAAAGGATTCACAAGCAATACCACGGTTTTTGCAGTAACCTTTATATTGGTTGTACTACTTACTTTAGCCCTTATTGCCAGACCAGAGTTACACGTTTATTTATCTCTTTTAGCTCATCTACTTTGTGACCCACCAGGTCCCGCCTGCTAGAAAAAGTAATAAGTGATAAGTTATAGCCGCTGTAACCCGTTCTAATAAGATATTTATATAATTCTTTATTTTTGTTGTGCGTAAGTTTATTACAATTGCTTGTGAGGTACCCCAACGGCAATCCTCTAGCACATTTCAGACATTGTAACGTGAGGGTACAGGAAAAATCTAGCACAAGTTTTTATATATAGATATATACGTGGTTAAGTCGAGTAGTAAACGACATGTGTTGTGGTAGTTTAGTCTCTTCTATGACACAATAGCAACAATGCATAATAGTATGGTTAGGTTGTGAGTAGACATAAGCCTACAGACCTTTGTACAGTTATACAGTCTAGTAGGTGTATATACAGGCAAGCCCTCAGTTTCTCTATAGACTTTAAACAAGCTGGGGTTGCTATATTATTCCTCACCAGCTAGTAAAATAGTGCCCATTAGTTGAGCATTTACATAGTAATAATTAACGATCTAACACATGCTTAACTTAGGTCTAGATCTAGGTTCTGAGTGGAATCAATTGCTTATGCAAAATCTATCGATGGGTTGGGGTTTTGACTTCTCACCGAGGAAGTCGCGGGGGGGCGGGGGCGGGAGAAGGTATATTCTCCCCGGAGCTTGTGGTGTTCTGAGGAACAGTGACGAGACAGCAAAACATAAAGACCTTAAAAAACAAGTATAGGGTAAAACAGTAGGTGAGCCGGTGTGAGGCAGTGTCTGATTAATGTATGAAAGTCGTTGGCAACCATTAATGCTGTTCAAAACAGCTCTTCCTCAGCTCCTGTGGAGGACATAGAGGAGGTCGAGGGTCTGGCAGAGTGGGCCGTTCAAGTTAAGGCTCCGCTTCTCTCAGAGTTCCTAGGAGTGAAAGAGATTACTGACTCTGGGTTCCATGTGTGTGACGTCGTGGGGTTCTCCCTTGTTGGGGTTGGAGCTGGCATCCCCAGTGCCCTTAGGAAAGGTTCTGCATCCTGTAGCGAGGAGAGGCTGTGCGTGGCGCCCCCCTTGGTCACTGTCAGAGACCTTGGGAATGTCCATTTATACTCGAGCTTTGCCTCTCTCAGCTGAGTTGTGACTGGGGCCAGAGATCTGCGCCATAGTAATGTGTTGCGGGTCAGGTCGTGGTAAAAGGTAATGTGAGAGTTTTCAAATGTTAGCGGGGTCTTCCCTCTGACCGCTGTGAGAAGCTTAATTTTGTCGGTCACGGAGTGACATCGGATAATGACATCTTGAGGGGCGTCCGTTGGTGCTTGTCTGGCTTTTCTGATTCTGAAGCAGCCGTCCAATACGATTTTTTTTGCCTGGGCGGATGGCAGAAGCGTCGCTATGAGACGTCTGAGGTAATGGGGTAGTTCTGATGAGTCTATGGTGTCTGGGATCCCCCTTAATTTTAGGTTAGCACGTCTGTTGCGGTCTTCTGTTTGGTCCAGTCTTGTGATTAGGGTGGATTGTGCGGCCTGCATATGGCAACAAGTGTCTTTTATCTCTCTCACCTCTCTTTGGAGGTCTAGGATGTCCTCCTCTGTGGCCCGCGTGCGTGCGGTCATTGCTTGCATTTCAGACTTTATTAGGTTGATATCTGCTGCATGCATTCTCCTCATTTCCATCAGGAGGTCGGCTATATCTTGTTTGGTAGCCGGGGTTTGTGTGTCTTGGCCGGCAGGTGACTCTGTGGCTTGGGGAGCGGATATTTCTAATCCAGCCCCATGCTGTTCCCCCTCTTCTGGAGAGGCTGGTGTGCGTTCCGCCGGGGTCGCCATCTTGGGCGCCATGGGCCTCTGCAGCATGTCGCCGATATCTTGGGTGCCTCTGCCGGCGGTTGGTGGAGGCTTTTGGGACCTGCGACCCATTGTGTAGCCGTCCGGTTCCGCGGGATCCTTTAGGAGGTCGGTGTCGTGTCGAGTGTCGAATGCTGCGGCCTCCGTCGCGTACCTTGCGGTTTGGAGTGTCAGGTAGGCCCCAGATTTTCGCCGGGTCTTTTTACCCGTTTGCGGGAACTGGAACGGCATTCGTCTGTACCGCGGGTTCCAGGGGTACTCGGGTGGGTGTTTGAGTCGTCGGATGACACCCTGGTACCTCGGATTGAAGCGGGTTTCTGTCGATTAGCCGGAGCTCTCTGATAGTGCGTCCGTTCAGGTTCAGCTCCAGGCTCCGCCCCCTAATAAGATATTTAAGGGAACTCTGACAATCCAACTCACTACCACTGTTTAGCCTTTTATTAGATGATAGTGCTGCACTCTGAGAAATGTTTGGTGCCATTTTTAAGGTAGTACATAAAGAAGGAAGAAACTTGAACATTGTAGTACCACTCTATATCCTTAAAAATATAGTAGATAGTTAATACATTGTGAAACTCAAAAACACACACCAGTCAAGCCATAAGACTTGCTTTTCAAACAGAAATCTCACTTTAACAGTGTTCTCACTACTGCAAGGGATTCTGGGTAGGTGTATGCAAATGAGCTCAACAGAGCACAAAAATTTTGGCTCTTAATTCCACTTTATACACGGATTCCTTGGAGTATGTGTCTGCTGTATACAACAGCTTTGTGTTATGTTTCCTATAGATTTGGAGTGGAACTCAACTGCAGAAATATAGTTAGGAGAACCCTTAGGGTTTTTAGAATAGTAATTTACAGATTTTACTATTAACATGACGTAAAGTCATGATTTTATTAATGACACGGAGGCGTGTATTATGCTGCACCCTTTCTTTATTTACCTCAGCAGCAAAGAAAAATAACATTAAATCAGTATAAAAGAAACCAGTAAATAACATGAGGTATATCTTCCTAGCAACAGGAACAGCCAATCAGCATCCTCTTTATAGTATAATAGGCAGTGTCCAGTATACTACTTCCTCTTTCTTGCGATCCCGAACAAAGACAACAAATCCAAATAGAAAGTGGGCTCCAATTAGAGGGTATACGAGCCTTAAACTGGATCTTGAAGTCAAGCTGGAAGAGAAAGGAGAATATGGTAATATCCAAGTATAAAACTGAATTTATGCATCAATTTGCATTACATGGAATATCAGATATATATACATAACATGAAATTCAGTTTAGTCAAACCTTAAGCTCTTGACAGTCATCAACAAGGATAAAACCCAGTAGTCAAAAAAGACTTACCGTGAAGTCAACTTACCCAGAGAAGACCAAACCTCCAGGGATGGGAGGGAGGGATAATACTCGCCTCCGTGTCAGTAATAAAATCATGACTTTACATCATGTTAATAGTAAAATCTGTAAATTTTATTAAGACACGGAGGCTCCTATTATGCTAGTTCAAAGCTGTGAAATTATATCTCCTGTGAAGTGTTGAATAGGTCTAAAGTAGAAATCATGGAATGTAGACTCCGAAGACCAGCCGCTCTCATAATATCCTCCAAGCGACAACCAATCGAGCAAGCCTTAGAAGCCATTGCCCCATGAACCGAATGAGGCACAGACACATGGGTATCTGCTAGAGACATAACATATTTGACCCACCAGGCTAGAGTAGACACCAGAAGACGCGACTTTTGGAAGGAGATGAAGAGTTCCTGTTTCAAAGGATTCCGTAACGTAGTGGAACGATGTTCACACACCCATTAGTATGCAACAGGGCAAAGGAGAGATCTATCAGGGAAAACTGGGTAAAATTGATTTTAGAGGAGGTTTTTGTCCTCCGTGAAATGTCAAAGAGGGCACCTTCTGGAGTAAAGGAACAAGCAACCACCTCAAGAGCTCGTATGTCATAAAAACCTCTTGCAAGAAAAAAATTAAAAACAATAGAGACGTCCCACAAGACAGAGTATCGTGGTAAGGGTGGATGAGCAAACCATATGCCTCAGAGAAGTCAATATATGACAGGATGTCAACCGACAGGCGTCCGTCCAATCGAAACTTTGATGGCCAGCAGAAATGGACGATCGGTAAGGTCCACAGTGCGTTAGGCTTTACCTTCATCATAGAAGTCAGAAAAATGGAGGACAGACATAAAAGGAGCCGATATGGGATTTAAATTTAATTTCATGCACCAACTATGCCATCTGCTCCAAGCAGATTTATATGCCTGTCTCATGTTGGGTGCACCCTTGATAAGTTGGGGAGTTGATTGCGAAACTCCCTTGACTGACCAAGGTTCCCTGAAATAGACTACACTATGAGATGCAAGAGACCTTGGAGAACAAGAGGATGAGGTACACCGTCTGGATCCTGAAGAAGGCACTCGAGAGATGGAAGGTCAATAACCATCTCCTGAAGAGGAGAGAACTATGGTTGAAGCCTTTTCTAATTGTTGGGGGGATGAAGGGGGGAGGACCAGCACAGAAGGGGTTACTATGAAATTACTATGTTTATGAAAACACTATGTTTAATTAATATGTTTATGAAAACACTGTTTTATTACTATATTTAGGAAAACACTGTTTTTCTTGTTGGAGTAACCATCTAAGTGAGCATGGCTGGCTGACACACTTTCTGGCTAGGTTAGGAATCACAGCAGAAGCTGCAAGGATAGTGTATGCAGCAAATACAGGAACTCCAAATGTCAAAAAGTGTTTTCAGGAGCCAGGTCAGCGCTATGGCTCTTTGACAGTGCAACCGGATCCCTGTAATGGTGTCAGCGCTGAGGGGAAGTGACAATCGGTCACTTCCTCACAGTAAACACACAATGAGCTGCTCAGGAGAGTCTCAGAGAAGAGGAGTAAAATGGGAGAACCTCTGACTCACAACAACCTCAACCAGCTGACTGGACCTTAGGGAAGCCACCCTAGCAGGGGCAGTTCCTGGACTGAATCTCGTGAGGGGCACTTAGAGATTATTACAGGGACAGTCCAGGCACAATAACCACTACAGCTCTCCTGAGTAAGTAGTCAAATCATTTAAGAACAGTTTGACAACTTACCTGAGTTCTGCGAGGATAGGGGATGTAGTAGGGGATAGGGCCTGTAGTGTGTGTGAGAGAGGTGTAGTGTGTGTGTCTGGGGGGGAGGGGGGGGGTTAATTGTGTGAGAGGTGCAATGTGTGTGAGCGGTGAAGTTTGTGTGTGAGGAGTGCAGTGTGTGTGAGGGGTGCAGTGTGTGTAAGAGGTGCAGTGGGTGTATGTGGAGTGCAGTGTGTGGGTGTCTGAGGGGTGCAGTGTGTGTGTCAGGGGTGCAGTTTGTGTGTTTGGGGGGCAGTGTGTTTTACTGTGCTGTCAGTGTGTACAGATCTCCCTTGCATTCCATTGACTCCCTGGTATTTTACCAATTTTTTGCCTGTTTTACGTCTGTGAATCTGCGACTCCTTTCCCGACCTTTGGCTTTTCCTAACCATGCATCCGCTTATTTCTATTGGTACCTTGCTTCAGCTTATTTCTGCTTCCTAGGCTCCTCCTGTCAAACCCAACAGCTTTCTACATATTACTCATTTACAACAGACACACTGCTACTCCACTTCTCAAAGACTTGGCTATTACCCTAGCTGATCAGGACTGGAGGAATTGATTCATTGCTGTTGCTTTGCTGGTGTTATGTAAAAATTATGTCTTTTTTTATATATATATTTTTAAAGATGTTTGTTTATATATATATATATATATATATATATATATATGATCATAAGTACTTTTAAAGCAATTTGTACGGCTAATAATGTGTCTTGCAGCATTGAGAATATTTTAAAAGAGAGTAACCACAGCTCATGCTGTTTTAAGGTCAAATCCTAAGCCATACCAGCATGCCGCATCCTACATGTTGCAGGGACGCAGAGAGTGCAGTACGGGTCATGTCACATTTATGTCATAATAAAGCAATAAAAAAGGATGAGATATTGGTTTCAGTGGTTCCCAAGAGGGACATAGTAACCAAAGACTATTGAAAGTCAATGTATTTATTTACTAAATATTTGACTCTTGGTAATGTACCTTTCTATCCAAGGCTAATATTCTCAGCAAAGTACAAGTTCGGTGAGAAATGACTATGTTAAGAAATACTAAGACAGCACATTGCACCGATTCTTGCTATCAACATCTGAGCATATCTGCTATTTATTTAAAAACCTAACTTGCTATTTAGTCAAACATATAGTTATATAGTACATTTTGAGTAATATTATGACGTTATACAGGGAGTGCAGAATTATTAGGCAAGTTGTATTTTTGAGGATTAATTTTATTATTGAACAACAACCATGTTCTCAATGAACCCAAAAAACTCATTAATATCAAAGCTGAATATTTTTGGAAGTAGTTTTAGTTTGTTTTTAGTTTTAGCTATGTTAGGGGGATATCTGTGTGTGCAGGTGACTATTACTGTGCATAATTATTAGGCAACTTAACAAAAAACAAATATATACCCATTTCAATTATTTATTATTACCAGTGAAACCAATATAACATCTCAACATTCACAAATATACATTTCTGACATTCAAAAACAAAACAAAAACAAATCAGTGACCAATATAGCCACCTTTCTTTGCAAGGACACTCAAAAGCCTGCCATCCATGGATTCTGTCAGTGTTTTGATCTGTTCACCATCAACATTGCGTGCAGCAGCAACCACAGCCTCCCAGACACTGTTCAGAGAGGTGTACTGTTTTCCCTCCTTGTAAATCTCACATTTGATGATGGACCACAGGTTCTCAATGGGGTTCAGATCAGGTGAACAAGGAGGCCATGTCATTAGATTTTCTTCTTTTATACCCTTTCTTGCCAGCCACGCTGTGGAGTACTTGGACGCGTGTGATGGAGCATTGTCCTGCATGAAAATCATGTTTTTCTTGAAGGATGCAGACTTCTTCCTGTACCACTGCTTGAAGAAGGTGTCTTCCAGGAACTGGCAGTAGGATTGGGAGTTGAGCTTGACTCCATCCTCAACCCGAAAAGGCCCCACAAGCTCATCTTTGATGATACCAGCCCAAACCAGTACTCCACCTCCACCTTGCTGGCGTCTGAGTCGGACTGGAGCTCTCTGCCCTTTACCAATCCAGCCACAGGCCCATCCATCTGGCCCATCAAGACTCACTCTCATTTCATCAGTCCATAAAACCTTAGAAAAATCAGTCTTGAGATATTTCTTGGCCCAGTCTTGACGTTTCAGCTTGTGTGTCTTGTTCAGTGGTGGTCGTCTTTCAGCCTTTCTTACCTTGGCCATGTCTCTGAGTATTGCACACCTTGTGCCTTTGGGCACTCCAGTGATGTTGCAGCTCTGAAATATGACCAAACTGGTGGCAAGTGGCATCGTGGCAGCTGCACGCTTGACTTTTTTCAGTTCATGGGCAGTTATTTTGCGCCTTGGTTTTTCCACACGCTTCTTGCGACCCTGTTGACTATTTTGAATGAAACGCTTGATTGTTCGATGTCATTGTAACAATCACTAAGTATACAGGGAAAAACAACAATGAACTATATTGCAATCTGTTTGTAAATGTTTAAAAGGTTGTACAGGCTGCTGTCCCTTATTAAAATGTAAAATCAACTGTTAACTGGTTAGGTAAAAAGAAAGTGTTGGGATTGGAAACAAACCATGTTGGCTTGATGCTTTTGAGGACTGCATAAGGATCAACAAATTTCTTCTTTTAAACAGTCTTCCATTTCTGTAGTAAAGGATTCACAAGCAATACCACGGTTTTTGCAGTAACCTTTATATTGGTTGTACTACTTACTTTAGCCCTTATTGCCAGACCAGAGTTACACGTTTATTTATCTCTTTTAGCTCATCTACTTTGTGACCCACCAGGTCCCGCCTGCTAGAAAAAGTAATAAGTGATAAGTTATAGCCGCTGTAACCCGTTCTAATAAGATATTTAAGGGAACTCTGACAATCCAACTCACTACCACTGTTTAGCCTTTTATTAGATGATAGTGCTGCACTCTGAGAAATGTTTGGTGCCATTTTTAAGGTAGTACATAAAGAAGGAAGAAACTTGAACATTGTAGTACCACTCTATATCCTTAAAAATATAGTAGATAGTTAATACATTGTGAAACTCAAAAACACACACCAGTCAAGCCATAAGACTTGCTTTTCAAACAGAAATCTCACTTTAACAGTGTTCTCACTACTGCAAGGGATTCTGGGTAGGTGTATGCAAATGAGCTCAACAGAGCACAAAAATTTTGGCTCTTAATTCCACTTTATACACGGATTCCTTGGAGTATGTGTCTGCTGTATACAACAGCTTTGTGTTATGTTTCCTATAGATTTGGAGTGGAACTCAACTGCAGAAATATAGTTAGGAGAACCCTTAGGGTTTTTAGAATAGTAATTTACAGATTTTACTATTAACATGACGTAAAGTCATGATTTTATTAATGACACGGAGGCGTGTATTATGCTGCACCCTTTCTTTATTTACCTCAGCAGCAAAGAAAAATAACATTAAATCAGTATAAAAGAAACCAGTAAATAACATGAGGTATATCTTCCTAGCAACAGGAACAGCCAATCAGCATCCTCTTTATAGTATAATAGGCAGTGTCCAGTATACTACTTCCTCTTTCTTGCGATCCCGAACAAGGACAACAAATCCAAATAGAAAGTGGGCTCCAATTAGAGGGTATACGAGCCTTAAACTGGATCTTGAAGTCAAGCTGGAAGAGAAAGGAGAATATGGTAATATCCAAGTATAAAACTGAATTTATGCATCAATTTGCATTACATGGAATATCAGATATACATACATAACATGAAATTCAGTTTAGTCAAACCTTAAGCTCTTGACAGTCATCAACAAGGATAAAACCCAGTAGTCAAAAAAGACTTACCGTGAAGTCAACTTACCCAGAGAAGACCAAACCTCCAGGGATGGGAGGGAGGGATAATACTCGCCTCCGTGTCAGTAATAAAATCATGACTTTACATCATGTTAATAGTAAAATCTGTAAATTTTATTAAGACACGGAGGCTCCTATTATGCTAGTTCAAAGCTGTGAAATTATATCTCCTGTGAAGTGTTGAATAGGTCTAAAGTAGAAATCATGGAATGTAGACTCCGAAGACCAGCCGCTCTCATAATATCCTCCAAGCGACAACCAATCGAGCAAGCCTTAGAAGCCATTGCCCAATGAACCGAATGAGGCACAGACACATGGGTATCTGCTAGAGACATAACATATTTGACCCACCAGGCTAGAGTAGACACCAGAAGACGCGACTTTTGGAAGGAGATGAAGAGTTCCTGTTTCAAAGGATTCCGTAACGTAGTGGAACGATGTTCACACACCCATTAGTATGCAACAGGGCAAAGGAGAGATCTATCAGGGAAAACTGGGTAAAATTGATTTTAGAGGAGGTTTTTGTCCTCCGTGAAATGTCAAAGAGGGCACCTTCTGGAGTAAAGGAACAAGCAACCACCTCAAGAGCTCGTATGTCATAAAAACCTCTTGCAAGAAAAAAATTAAAAACAATAGAGACGTCCCACAAGACAGAGTATCGTGGTAAGGGTGGATGAGCAAACCATATGCCTCAGAGAAGTCAATATATGACAGGATGTCAACCGACAGGCGTCCGTCCAATCGAAACTTTGATGGCCAGCAGAAATGGACGATCGGTAAGGTCCACAGTGCGTTAGGCTTTACCTTCATCATAGAAGTCAGAAAAATGGAGGACAGACATAAAAGGAGCCGATATGGGATTTAAATTTAATTTCATGCACCAACTATGCCATCTGCTCCAAGCAGATTTATATGCCTGTCTCATGTTGGGTGCACCCTTGATAAGTTGGGGAGTTGATTGCGAAACTCCCTTGACTGACCAAGGTTCCCTGAAATAGACTACACTATGAGATGCAAGAGACCTTGGAGAACAAGAGGATGAGGTACACCGTCTGGATCCTGAAGAAGGCACTCGAGAGATGGAAGGTCAATAACCATCTCCTGAAGAGGAGAGAACTATGGTTGGGACGGCGATAGAGGAACCACGATCACCAGGTGCCGGACTGGCGATGTAGATGGAAAGGCAACAGGGAATCAGTGCAAAGAGCAGAAAATCGTAATTACTTGGAGAAAACATTCATAGCCAGTGCTATTGGATCTGGTCTCCAACTGAAAATAACAGGGAAGTTGTAGTGTTGGAGAGACCTTGAATATATTCTGCCATGACAGAAATGCTGTGTCTCAGGTAAAATTGCCAGCAATCACGAGGCATGTAGGTCAAAGTTTTGTATTTTGTGCCTCCAAGTGATTGATGTAGCTGACTGCTGACACGTCCATCTTCAGAAGGATAGCGCATTGGGCTTGAGTTGGGGAGAAACTGTGGAATGCAAAGGAACTCGCCAGATGTTCCAAACAATTGATGTGGAGTGTCGATTCCAGGTTTGATTATCTGCCCTTGGTGGAAATAGTTCCGCATTGAGCACCCCAACCGTGCAAACTTGCGTCGGATTTGATTATCAAATCTGGAGCTGTACAAAATATGGTGCGCTTATTCCAAGCTTCCATGTGAAGAAGCCGCCATTGGAGTTCATCCTCCTCTTCTGAGTCCAGAGTTACCATATCTGTGTATGATGCGCTGCCCTTGAGATGACGTTTGTAATCGTTGTAGGGCTCGATAGCCAAGAGGACCTGGAAAAATGGCCTGTATAGATGCCGCTAGAAGGCCTAACATTCTCAACAGTTGTTTGAGAGAGAGTTGAGAGGTTGCTAGTGTTCGCCTATCTCCTTCTTGATATTGGCTAATTTTGCCACAGGAAGGTGTGTTTGAAGTTTGAAGGGTAGAATCTACAAAAATCCAATATAACCCAGAAATTTGATTTGTTGCGTGGGAACGATAATGGATTTCTCCCAACTGATCAGGAAGCCTAGGTTCTCTAACAGAGTCAAAGTCCATGCAAGGTATGTCCGGATTAATTGAATAGACTGAGCCAGAATGAAAATGCTGTCTAAATATATTATAAGACGTGAGCTTGGTGAAGCACCATGGAGCCAAAGACAGTCCGAATAGGAGGCACCTGAACCTCTATTTACTGCCCTACCATGTAAATTGCAGGAAGATCTTGATGATGTACTGGGATAGGCACTGTGAGATATACATCCTGCAGATCCAATTTGGCCATCCAATCTTCTGGTTGGAGAAGATCCCTTAAACAATGCTCTCCTTCCATCTTGGAAGTGCTGATATGCTCATAACTATTGAGCAGTCTCAAATTTATCACTGGATGGATACCTTTGCCTTTTTTGGGAAACAAGAAAAGGTTGCTCACATAATCCAGGGTATGGGCCGGAATCTCTACGATTGATTGTCCACGGAGCAGGGGCGAACTGAGCACTCGGGCACATCGGTCATGGACCGAGGGCCCGAGGCTCTTGGGGGCCCGCCTGCCTGCAGCATTGTAATGGCTCAACTGAGGAGCTCAACAAGCTCCCCAGCCAGCCTGCACTAAGTGAGGGGCCCTAATGACCTTCTGCGGGCCCCTGTTATTAAATACTTTCCCCCCTTGGTCGGCCGCAGCAGAGCGCTTGTAGCACACTGAGAGACAGCCCAGGAGCCTTATCAAAGACCCCCCAGGCTGTCTCTCACTGTGCCTGTCCGAAAGTGCTGCCTGTGGGCTAGAAAAAAAAATTGTCAAAGGCTCCAGGAGCAGAGCCTCTGCCGTGAGCTGAACACAGCATGCAGGCTGCCTGTAACTGAGCAGCCCCATGCGGAGCTGCTCTTTCAGTGTTACAGGCAGCCTGACCCCACTCCAGTACCATGGCCGGCCAGGGGTGCAAACAAGCTTATTCTGCCACCGGACCACCAGGGATAAGGATTCCTCCCTCCATGGACAAAGGTAAGGCTCAGGGAGGGGGGGACACATTATTTAACTTTTCTCTTTTTCCCCACATTACTCGCTACACATACTGCAACCGCTATTACTCCCTAAACATACTACAACCCCTATCATTTGCTACACATACTATAACCCCTATTATTCCCTACACATACTACAACCCCTATTACTCCCTACACATACTACAACACCTATGACTCGCTAGACATACTACAACCTCTATTACTCCCTACACATACTACAACCCCTATGACTCGCTAGACATACTACAACCCCTATCACTCCCTACACATACTACAACCCCTATTATCCCCTACACAGACTAGAGTCCCTACAACCCTGTGCACCTATATCTCCTGCACCCACTACAAACCCTATTACCCCCTGCACCCACTACAACCCCTACACCCATTACAAGCCTTATTATCCCTTGCACCCACTACAGCAACTGCACTAACTACAACCCCTATACCGCCTGCACAGACTTTAGCCCCTGTTACCCTCTACAGACCCTATTACCCCCTGCACTCACTGCATCCCCTATTAACCCTTATATATACTAAAGCTCTCATTACCCCCTGTAGCCTCCATTGTTCTCTGCACCTATTACAGCCCCTATCCCTCCCCTGAACACTTAATGGCTTCTATTACCCCCATTACCTCTTTTCCGCAATATAACCACTACATGCCCATGGTTTTTTACGTATACTGACCTTCCACACATGCAAACCTGGGTTCACCCACTAACTACATGCTAATTTGGTCTTGCATTTACACACACATACAGACTCTCAATAAGTATGCCCCTGTATACACATGCTGATGTCCTGGACATACTAGAATGAATAAAAACAATAAATAAATTTTAAAAAAAGTGTATTTAAAGGAACACTATAGGGTCAGAATACAAACTTGCATATATAGTGTTAAAAACGCCATTTGGGTCACCAGCACACCCCTTCCCCTCTTAAAAAGGTAATAAACGTACCGTTATTCCAGTTCAGCCAGTGCTGGCGCAGCCCATGCTCTGCCCCTTGGTTGAGATCTCAGCCTTTCCATTGCTTTCTCATAATAAAGCATTGGGAAGCTAATGCGCACGCATGGCAAAACGCTGCTTACGCCAATTAGCATGTACTCATAGAGTGCATCTCTGTGGGGAAAGTTCAGCACCTCCATGCAGAGCATGGAGACACTGAACATCAGTGCTGCTCATTGCCTATCACTGACCCAGGAAGCACATCTAGTGTCTCTAGTCAGCAATGTAAGCACTTTTCTCTGAAAAGGCAGGGTTTACATTAAAATGCCTGCAGAGACTGACTATAAACACTAGAACAACTAAATTAAGCTGTAGTTGTTTTGGTGACTATAGTAGTTGGTACAGCCATGCTACACAAACACACATAAATACTACCCTAAAAAAAATATACTCTGAATCCACGGATCCTGATACAACACACAAAAATACATATATAAATACATATATTTGCTTACACCAGGGCTCACAGTGAATAGTGTGCATTCACTTTACATGCACATATAATCAAATACACGGTACATATACACTATCATGTGTACCAGCATATATATTAAACTGTAAGGGGCCCATGTCCTAGTTTTGCCCAGGGGCCCGAGGCACTGTCAGTCCACCCCTGCCACGGAGACAAGGTCTGCGTCTCATTGGGAAAAAACAATTTCCCTTGATGGGGAACATTGAACAGGTAGAGAAAGGAAGTCTATGCAATACCCTTTCACAGTGTGAAGAACCTAAGCATCTGATGAAATGAGGTATCATACATGAGAAAAATGTGTGAGCCTGCCCCCCACTATCAGTAAGGAAGAATGGAAATTGTGAAGACTTCTTAGGAGCACCTCTTAGGCCACTAACAACCCAGGGTCGACCACTTTGTGGGAAGGAGGTTGGTATAGTGCATTGTTTAAAGAAATCGGCTCGGCAAGTATAAGAGCCTTGGTTCTGTCTAAAAGAACTTCTGTTTGTTTAGCCGGACAAAGAAGCCCAATTCTTTTACAAAGTTGTCCCCAAAGAGAAAACCTTTTGCCTGTGTTATCTGGCTTGTTCAGAGCCATAGTTAAACTTTTGGGCTCAATCTTGAGCAAGATCGATTTGTGGCGTTCTGTGAAACCCGCATTGTTGGCGTTGCCAACTTAAATCACTCTCTGGATCTAACCACTTAAGATAGCGCAATCTAATTCTAGATCATCCTCTACTGCTTTAAAGATCTTGGCTGCTGAGCCCAAGATGCCCAGGATTTTATCCCGACAGTTTTGCAATGAAAATCTAAGCCTTTAGATGGCTTCCATCCTGTCTTACTGAGGAATTGAATGATCTTAGGATCGACTGATAGCGTTTTACATGAGTCATCAGGGACTGTTCGGCGTGGCCATTCAGCCCGCAATTTATTTCACTTTGCCTTCTCAAAAGGCTTGCGTACTCTGGATGCAATATACTTGGCTACATGGTCTGACGAGACCACTGGGTGACATAGGTCGTCAGGTTCGAATAGGGGTTCACATTGAGTGTCCAAGATCCTATCGGTGTCCCTGAGTCTGCATAATCTACCTAAACCTTGGTAGGTTTAACAGGACGTGTATCCCAAATGGGATTAGCATTCTGTTCATAAGTAATTTCATAATCAGGATCAGAAATATCACTGAATCCTCCGTATAGGACTCAGTGAACTCCTCCTCAATATCACTGTGCTCAGATTCAGAGTTCATTTGGGCTTTTACCCTTTTTCAAAGTCTAGTCGATTTTGCCCGACTTGTAGCTCTTTTGCGCAGTGGTAGATTAATCGCGCCATCCATGACAGGTATGGTACTGTCCATCTCTATTGTTTTGGAGGAGTGTTTAGCCTTATATGAGGCCTTGCGGCCAGGCTGAAGCAGAGCAGATGTGAGTACAGATACACCTCCATATAGAACTCAGGAACTCCTCCTCAATATCACTGAGTTCGGATTCAGAGTTCAATTGGGCTTTTGCCCTTTTCCAAAGTCTAATCGATTTTGCCCGACTAGTAGCTCTTTCGCGCAGTGGTAAATTAATTGCGCCATTCGTGACAGGTATGTTACTGTCCATCTCTATTGTTTTGGAGAAGTGTTTAGCCTTATATAAGGCATTTCAGCCTGATACCAGGGCCTTGCCATTGCTTTTGCCATGGAAATGTCAATTAAAGCCTGCATGTCAGCAGGATCAGTAAAGCAGAAATTCAGCCTCATCTCCTGAGATACCTGGAGAGGCTTCTACATTAATCTGCGTGTTTGCTGTAGACCCAGAAGGCACAGAAAGATCCTGTCAGACTGCATCGTTAATTTACAAACAAACCTAAGGGGATGAATAAAGTAAAATAATACCAAAAGGAAAGGGTTGAGTAACCCTCAAGTAAAAAATCAATAAATAACTAAACAGGATAAAGAAATGAAAGTACTCACAATAGTGAAAAAATAGCAATTGTAATATAAAAACACAGGAGCTGCCCGGCTGCCACTACAACTAAACCCCAACTTGGATTTCTGGCAGTTGGTAGGAGAGCAGCGACCAGACAGATAAATGAAGGGAAAAAACAGCACAATGGCACTATTCAGGGGATAAAGATCCTCAAAGGCGCCCCTGAGCCCCAATTGATGGCAATCTTGGGGCCAGGGAGATCAGAGGGGAAAGAAATTATCAAAGGATATATAATAAAGCATATAACAGACGCAAATGAAGTAAATAAATCAAATTAAGTTAAAATGAAATGACTAAATTTATTTATAAACATGAAAATATTATAATTAAAATGTAATAACTATAATAACTATATTAACCACAGTAATGATATGAATAAAGAAGATCCTACAGTTAAGAACCTTGGGACCCAGTGTCACTTAACTGAGGTAGCAGCAAAGAAAGAGGAAGTAGTATACGGGACACTGCCTATTATGCTATAAAGAGGATGCTGATTGGCTGTTCCTGTTGCTAGGAGGATATACCTCATGTTATTTACTGGTTTCTTTTATACTGATTTAATGTTATTTTTCTTTGCTGCTGAGGTAAATAAAGAGTGCAGCATAATAGGAGCCTCCGTGTCTTAATAAAATTAGATTTTAGATGGAACAATTCTTCATTAAGGAGTTTTACGAGAAGGAGGATTGCACAGTTCTTGTAATTTAAAGGAATACAATACGAAGATAATTTGAAGATAACAGTCCATGGATCTTTACTGAACACAATATGAAGATAGTTTGAAGATAACAGTTTATGTAACCTTAATGAATACAGTATGAAGGTAGATTGATGAGAAGAGTTCATGTAGCTTAAGGAATACAATATGAAGATAGATTGGTGAGATGAGTCCTGTAACCTTAAAGAACACTACATGTAGATAGTTTGATCAGAAGAGTTCCTGTAGCTTTAATGAAACAGTATGAAGATAGATTGATAAGAAGAGTTCCTGTAGCTTTAATGAAACAGTATGAAGATAGATTGATGAGAAGAGTTCCTGTAGCTTTAAGGAATAAAATAGGTAGATGGTTTGAAGAGAAGATATCCTGTAGCTTTCAGGAACACGACATGCAGATAGTTTGATGAGAAGAGTTTCTGTAGCTCTAAGGAATACAATATGTAGAGTGTTTGATGAGAAGAGTTCCTCTAGCTTTAAGGAATACAATCTGTAGGGTGTTTGATGAGAAGAGTTCCTGTAGCTTTAGGGAATACAATATGTAGATAGTTTGTCTACTAATTCAACTAAGGAGGCATGGAAAATAATTAAGCAGTAAGTATTGAAGTGCCAGTAGGAGGATTAATCCAAATCTATAACTTGCCATTACTTGGAAGGTTTCACAAAGCAGTAAGTATTCCAAAGGTAATCCATGGTCAATAGAAGAAGGATGGAGATCCAAGGTATGAACAGTCCAGGTTCGGTACACGTTCAGAAGTTTAGAGAGAGATTGTTTGAAGCCGGTAAGAAGTTCAGGAAGCTTCAAAATAACCAAGCACTTTGAATCTGGCGCGGTTCCTCTTAGTAGCGTGAGGAAGCCGCGTCAGAGAAGGGGGCGTGTCATTGGTCCATGAACCCGGAAGTGTCGGATTATCAGAGAAGCCGATAGTTAAGTTCTGACACTTTGAAACACAACTCAGGAAGAGGAGCAAAGCCAGTGAACCACTCATGGACAGCTGTTTTGTTGTTAATGCAACTCATCACCATGATGAGGCTATGGAGGCTTGGCGTTACTTGTAAAGTACATACCAGTCGAGTTGTGGTGGGTAAAAAAGTGTGGATGAAAACCCTTTGCAACTGAAGTAAGTGGATAGTTAATACATTGCTAAACTCAAAAACACACACCAGTCAAGCCATAAGACTTGCTTTCCCACAGAAATCTCACTTTAACAGTGCTCTCACTACTACATACACCTACCCAGAATCCCTTGCAGTGGCTTAACTCATGTTATAGTATTAAGTTTTTCTTCCCTTACTACTATTACATCTTTCTCCTGCTATTATACATGTTTTTAGCGCTGCAAGACACACCCCTCCTTCATTATGGTTGTTTCTCTCCTGTCGTCTTGCTGTTCCTTGTGCTGCTCTTACTTAGATCCTGTCCCTCCTCCCTACTTCCTCTTACAACCGTTGCTACCCCTTAAGCCCAATTCAAGTAGACGATGGTTTCCCTGATAATAGACATGTAGAACACAGCCTTCTTATCTTTAATCGGCACATGTCAGCACAGACTGAACTGATTGAGGGGAGGTGGAAAGGGCTGTTTTTTAACCTCTGATTTTGGAGAAATGTAGACATTTTCTAGCAATTCTAGCACAATGTATAGATTGAATTCTAATATTAAAGGAACACTATAGGGTCAGGAACACAAAACCACCATCTAGCCCCACTGCACACCCCTTGCCCCCCTAAATATAGCAAAAGCTCTTCTGTATTTCAGTCTGCTGCTGACTCTGCCCGTGATTTGCCTGCTTGGCTGACATCATCAGAAGTGATGATCTGAACAAATAATGCTTCCCCATAGAAAAGCATTGAATTGGCTGAGACTGTCAAGGAGGCAGATCAAGGGCAGAGCCAGCACAAGTCAAACACAGCCCTGGCCAATCAGCATCTCCTCATAGAGATTCATTGAATCAAATTTTAGTTGACTGCACAGTGTTAAAGGACCACTATAGTGCCAGGAAAACAACACATACCTTTTCTCCAGCGCCGGGCTCCCTCGGCGCTGGGTACTCTCCGCCTTCTTTCCCCATCATCGGCTGAATGCGTAAACGCGGCACAAGGCTGGATTAACCCATAGGTAAACATAGCCGTTTCTCTGAACTGCTATGTTTACAGCAGAAAGGGTTAATTCTAGATGGACCTGGCACCCAAACCACTTCATTGAGCTGAAGTGGTCTGGGTGCCTATAGTGGTCCTTTAATTTTGGCTGCAAATTTTTATTTAGTTTTGGTCATAGTCTTTTGACTAAAAAGACATTTTAGTTTTAGTCTTTTGCCCCTTCTCCAGCCCCTCTGTGTCTCTGTGTACTCCCAGGCCCTCAATGTGTCTCTCCCAAGCCCTGGTCTGTCTCTTTTGCTCCTTACACAACTGCTCTGTGCAGTGTTAATTTTGGGAGCAAATTTCAATTTAGTTTTAGTCATAGTCTTTTGACAAAAATGACATTTTAGTTTTAGTCGTATTTAGTAATCTGAATTGTTTTAGTTTTAGTCTAGTTTTAGTTGACTAAATCTCAAAACGTTTAGTTGACTAAAATTTGACTAAAATTGTTAGTCAACAAAATTAACACTGGTGCTGCATTGTGCAGCACTTCCACAGATAGCACCTCTAGTAGCCATCTGACAAGTAGCCAGTGAAGGTATCCCTAGGCTGTAATTTAAATACTGAATTTTCTCAGAAAAGACAGTATTTCCTTCAAACAGCCTGAAGAGAATGATTATATTCACCAGAAAAAAAAAATACAATAAGCTGTAGTTGTTCTGATGACTATAGTGTCCCTTTAAGTTGTATTTGTCTTAACATATACCCTTTAACTTAACAAAGTCATTTTGATGTATTCATCATGCCCCTAACATCCCACTGCTCAATTATCTGTCATTTAGGAGTTAAATCACATTGTTTGTGCAGCCCTAGCCATACTTACTATGTATGTGATTCACCAAGTCTCCCTACACACTTTACGAAACATAGGTCTAACATTTAAACTTATTACACAGTGTGTTTAGGAGTTGTTACTTCCTACTCTGATAATTACCTGGTAGAGTCTACAGCAGACTCCTGTGTGTGTTAAAGTTCAATTATCAGAGCACGAGATAAGAACTTCTAAAATAAACTTTTTGTGCTTTAAGATTATAATTACTAAATGGCAGAAACTTGAGCAGGTAACCTTCAGGGTTGCGATCTGTATATCAAAACTACTTAATCTAAAGTAGCTTTGGTGCTTAGGATATCCCTTTAACTGCCTGTTTCATGTGCATTGAAATATGTATTTTTTATTTTTTTTTACCTCGACTTTTCATTTCATTGACTGTGCTAAACTGAAGTATAAATTTATAATTCTAAAAATGTAATAGAACACATCAACCACTTCCCTAGCTCAATCAAGTATAAACATTTTTATTTTTATGTATTTTGCAGAATGAAATTGAGTCCATAAAGTTTTACTCACCCTCATTTATGATTACCAGCCTGTAAAGGAACACAATTCTCTTTCAGAAGCCATTAGTCACTGATATAATGCCGACATGTAAGCCCACCATCTGCTTTCAAACAGTACAGGAAGTTTCAGTTGGTCGTATAATTCCTATAATCAGGGAGGGGGCAATGAGTGACAGGACTCTGCCATTATACTATTAGCATTACATTAGCAGAAAGATTGTTATAGCAGTTTTAAGTACCTTTATTTCATAAATATATGATTTAATGTGATGGGATTTAAAGCGTGGCTTCTTCAGTGTTACCCGGTAACATTAACTGTATTTACTGTATGTTGGCATTATGTTCAAATGCAGACAATCTTTTTACAATCTGTTGACATTTATAGTAAGATGTCCTGCTAATAATGCCTACAGCATCTGTAAAAATACATGTAAGCAAGGTATTTTTTCTTTATCTATTTTTGTCATACCTATTGTATTTGATTAAAACAAATAGCATTGTTTCATTTATACTAAAGTTTCAGACCCTGTGTGAAATATTGCAAGATAAATGACACTATATAATGTCTAAACATTTTAATTTCCTAAATATTTAATAAAAGCTGAACATGTAAGTGAAATAAAAAATGTGTGAATTAATGAAATAAAATTTTTACATTTGTTTGCAAAGCATTACATACGCAAAAAGTGCTGTATTATGATATGTTTATATGCTACCTACGCATGCCTTGCTTTACATACATGTTATGCTAATAGTTCTAATATTTTTGTCAATCAAAGGTGGTCAGGAGTGAAGATGTTAATGAATAAAAAAAAAAATAGATGATCATTTGCGTTTTAGTTACAGCATAATATTTCTAGATGTCATTGTATAGTTCATCTGTAAACATTACGTACAGTGACTAAGTCATGTTGAGGTTTTCCATAAGCTTCTGATCCTGATTCTCATCTCAGCCGAGTCAGACGTGCCAAAAGTTTTCCTTCCCTTTCATTAGATGCTGAGCAGTGACTTTGAAAAACAATCCCACTTGAGGTTCAACGACACCAAATCCTTCCAAGAAGATCTATCTTTTCAAGTGGAGTGCTCTCCCATTCTCCTGCGTTTAATATTATTAACTGATGTTAAACACTTGGAGAGCGTCATATGAGATGTCAAGCCTTGGACATTATGTTCATTTTCCGTTGCTTCCAAAAGTGCTTGTGAAAGAGGGTTTGTTGATATTGTAGCAGCATGGGGAAAAAAAAAAGACTTGAGATGGATTTAGTACATGAAGGGATCAAGCGTCTCCTTGCAGTGCTATGAACAAAGGAGTTTAAATTGTTTAGATTGGCTCCTCTCACGCACAATTAATTGTTATCAGAACCTGTTTGAGAACAAAGACGGAAAAGTCATAATTGCTTAGCAGGAAATGCAAGGCTCAGTTTAGAGAACAGAAGTGTGAGGGCATTCGATTTCATTGACTTGGTCTCAGTGGAAAGCAGTCAGCCCCACAGGAAGGACTCGCAATCATGCCCTCTCGGTGAACCTGCCTGAAAGGATACAGGAGTTATTGGGTAATCAAGAGTTGTCAGCACCTTGGTTATGCACCATGGTTCAATCCGATAATGTGAATGGAACCTGTAATAGCACTGATGAAAAGCACACCCGTTTGAAAAGGGCCTTGAATGATTTTTTGTTCATTTTCTGTTTACATGTAATGCGTTATTGATGTCATTACCTTGTAATACAGCTGCTTGTTTCATAGAAAGGCTCAGAATTATTCATTATTTAAAAATAAAAATAAAAAAATCAGATGCGTTACATGAAGAAAATTGCATTCGAATGCTGCAACTGAAACATATTGATTTTCTGGCACCAGACTTTTTTAGATTAAAAATGCCAATACTAAATCCTTTCATGACCTATAGTTCATATGAAGTTCACTTGTCATTTACTATTATTCTGGAAAAAATAACAAAAAATAGAATGTTTGATGAAAATATGGCGTGAAGGGATGCACCCCACATCTTGAATTTGCATACAACACTGACACCTCTACATTGAATAGGTAATGCTTGCTGACAGGCGGGTGGGTTCAAAGATTTCCTTTTTTTTATTTATTTTTTTTCCAAACAAGAGGCATTTATCTCTTTTTAATTGCTTCCTTGGCTATTTGAATTCCCACCCTGGCCTTTAATGGATCTGAAAGTATCATTAAGCTTCATGCATTTCATCCGATGTGTGTAAGCAAATAAACAGAAGCTACATTTTCTTTCTAATCAGAACATGTCCGTTTGGTGTAAGATAAGTGGAACCATGATGAATGCATCACTAGTGACCAACTGGTTTTCACTCTCTAAGAAAGCATTGTTTATATTTTAACAAGAACAAGAAAATAATCGAATGTAATACTAATACCTTAAGTTTTATTTGGGCTGTAAAATGAAAGCTTTTTTGCAAAGTATTAATGGTGTAATATCAATAGAAGACTCCACGTCTTATTAAAAAATAATTATAAAATAATAAACTTTCGCAAGAACAAAGTACACTGTGAAAAATTTGACATTTTATTGAACTAGCCTCGTCTTTATGGTAAGGAAGGGAAGTCCAGATTTTGGGTCGAAATTCCTTAGTCTTTCGTTTCTATAATCATGTCCTTCCTAGCAGTTCCTAATGGTTGTGGTGTATGTCTGTACAACAGAGTTTCACAACAATACAACTTGATGTTTTCTTTAAACTACGGTGTAAAGAAACAAGATATTTAAATATTGCTCCAAATTAAATTTGAGGCCTAAATTTAATATTATTGAATAAATATTTTTGAATTAGTTAATATTTTGTGATAAACCATTCAAAAGTCTAAATATTAAAATATACAAACATATATCATATATATACAAAAAAAATTATCAAAATATGAAAACTTCTTTTGGGAATATTGCATCATTTTGTATGTTTAAAATAAATAGTTACAGAAATGATTATCATTAGTTTATGAAGTTTCCTAAAATGTCCCAGAATAGCTGTGCCTATGGTCACCCATCTAGATAAAACCCCTTTTGGCCATTTTTAATAGACAAAATGCAAATAAAATCATTGGCCCATGACGCTCTATGCACTCTTTTGCATCTGCCTGAAAAGTATCTTGTGTGCGCATATTCTCTCCCAACACCATCAGGCACAATTATGTGTGTGTGTGGGGGGGGGGGCTCAATTTTATACTTGTCACCATCAATAACCAACAAGCCAGCAAAACAATCTGCCATATAGAGTAAAGGGGCACTATAACTTTAGGAATACAAATATATATTCTTAACACTATAGTTTTACCCTACCTAGTTTGTCATCTGCCCACCTTGTAAGGTCTAAAAGGTGAATTTTACTTACCTTTATTCCCACACTGCACTGGTCTCGCCGCAGCTAACCACTGGCTGAGATCATCATGCTTGATAATATCGGCCAATGCAATGCTTTCCCACAGGGAACCATCGGGAGGCTTGTGCGCATGCGCAGCAAATCACCACAATGCATCAATCAAATGCTCTCCATGATTAGCGTTTGACTGAGAAATTAGTAAGACTTGAGTCTCACATGTTAATCGCCTGTAAGGCCATTGAAACATTAGAAATGTAAGGCCACTGCACCCAGACCGTTTCACAGAGGTCCTTTAATAAGAGACACTAAATAAGTAACAGTTTGTTTCTGTGTGTTAGGATGCAGTTAATAGCTCACTCTACTTTACACCTGCTTCAATTAACAATGCCAGCTCTTAGTGCATCCTTTAGGGATAACAATTCCATATTTTAGTAGATCTAGGATCGAAAGCTCTTCTATATGCATCGTGCATGCAGTTTTTACTTAATGCCACGTCAAGTGTATATTAACACTTAAAGGTTTAATCACTAAACAACAAATTGTCAATTGAAAACCTAACTGCAACATTTAGGCTAAAACAGGCAAAACTGCAACTTTAGCTGAATTTGAGAACTTTTCCAGATGAGCTATTTATCACAAATTTGCAAATAGGTTTTTCAGTTCACTACAATTCTAGAGCAGCTTGCTCAATCGCAGGTAGCCTGCGCATTCAGTGAGTGAATCATTTGTGTGTGTGTGTGGATCCTGGTGAAGTTGTTATGGCAAATAATTGAAAGATTTGCCTTTTTCCAATTTGCTAAATGGTAATCTCTGACCGGTGATTGGTATTAGTGGATGCAGACGTGAGTAGCGTACAAACAGGGGTGGATTGGGGAAACCTGGCAATATATTTGTAGCTGCAAGCATCTACCAGCTGTTGGTATTTGTGATGCTGAACAGCTGCATGTTAAAGATAAGCATGGAAACAAGCCGTATGATTTAAAAAAAAAAAAAAAAGCTAACTTTTAGTTACATGTTGGGTTATGAAAAAATAAGGCAAGTGGCTGTTCTTATTTAGGGAAGCTTCTTATTATATAATAACCCATTTAAACCAGAGATGTTAGGGGAAGCAAGACACATTTTTTTAATATATATTCCAAGTTGTTGTCAAAAGCAAACTGAGCATGTACAATTCCAGGGCACTGCTGAAGCCTTCTTGGAATGGGTAGAAACATTCAATAATGTTGTTGCACAGCTCCTAGTGTGCTTTTAAAGGACCACTCCACACCAGAAAGAACTGTATTAATGTTCTTATTTTTTGGAGAACTAGACACTTTTATAAATAAATTAGAATCAGCACGGGGTTCGTTTGAAAAATTTCAGCCTTTTTCCTAGGGCTCACACATTTTTGTTTAATGTATTTCCTGCTTTGTCATCCCAGATGTCACTCTACAAAGCCTTAAAGGACCACTCTAGGCACCCAGACCACTTCAGCTTAATGAAGTGGTCTGGGTGCCAGGTCCTTCTAGGGTTAACCCATTTTTTCATAATTATAGCAGTTTCAGAGAAACTGCTATAATTATGAATGGGTTAAGCCTTCCCCCTAATCCTCTAGTGGCTGTCTCATTGACAGCCACTAGAGGCGCTTGCGTGCTTCTCACTGTGATTTTCACAGTGAGAGCACGCAAGCGTCCATAGGAAAGCATTGTAAATGCTTTCCTATGAGACCGGCTGAATGCGCGCGCAGCTCTTGCCGCGCGTGCGCATTCAGCCGGCGGGGCGTAACGGAGGCGGAGAGGAGGAGGAGAGCTCTCCGCCCAGCGCTGGAAAAAGGTAAGTTATTACCCCTTTCCCCTTTCCAGAGCTGGGCGGGAGGGGGTCCCTGAGGGTGGGGGCACCCTCAGGGCACTATAGTGCCAGGAAAACGAGTATGTTTTCCTGGCACTATAGTGGTCCTTTAAATAGATTGACAGCACCCACAATATGGCTGCTTTAGCATATTGAGCGTGTCCACTGATTATATGTGATGAATGGTACAGCAGGTGGTGTAATGGTATTTATTAATTAAGGACTTTACATCATAAAGAAAGCATAGTTAGTGTAATGCTTTGGAGGCACCACTAGGGGCAGTGTGTAGGAATATATGTGCTTTTGGCAGTGAAATCACAGGCCAGCTACTTACACTGTATAAAAACCAGATTGTAGGAGGCATTCAGGTCTCTTTTGAAACAGTCAGTCTCTCTCTTTGGTTCTGCCATAGACTGCCTAAGAATATAGCAGCTGATGCCCCCAGCTCCACAGGCTTGGGCCTGTGTAAGTTTGTTCATGCTTTGTATTGTACCATGTGAAACAATTATAACATTTAGCAACTGTTATAGCCTTTTGTAAGTAAGTTTTGTAAGTTTTGTATTGTATACCGTATTTATCGGCGTATAACACGCACTTTTTCTCCCGGAAAATAGGGGCAAATTATGGGTGCGTGTTATACGCCGGCCCTTTAAATGCTGCAGCCGCCTGAGCGCTCTGTCAAGAGCGGTCAGGCGGCTGCAGTTGGTTCTCACCTCTCCTGTAGCATGGCCGAGCTGCTCTGCTGTCCGCGGTGGCCGGCCGGAGTGATAGGAAGGTGCACGCTCAGTGTGCACCTTCCTGTCAGTCCGACCGGGTACAGGAAACAGAAACTCCTGTTCCGCGCGGAACAGCAGAGGGGGTCGAAGGGGGGGTAGGGAGGGGAGGGGGGTAAGAAGAGGGGGAGTAAGCAGGGCAAGTGCAAGAGGGGGAGGGAGGTAGGGGGAGGGGGAGTAAGAAAAGGGGGTAAGAAGAGGGGAGGGGGAGCAGAAGGGGTAAAATAGAGGGGGAGGGGCGCAAGAAAAGTAAAGGGGA